GTTTCAAAAAATTTTGGAACCTCTTCTGTAGGTGTGGCCTCCTTTCCGGGTCCACTGGTGGAACCTCTTCTAACCGGTTCGGTAGATTTGACGAATCTACTGAACCGAATAGGTGCGAACTGGTAGGAATCCACCTCTGACGCAAGCCCTTAATTCACAGAGAAAGAAACCCCTTTGTGATTGAGCATGATGTGTGAACCAGACCAACATTCCAAAGGTGCTTTTTCAAAAGGCAACTAGACTTTTTGGGGTTTTTTAATCAAGCCATCAATCAATCAGAGTAGACCTTGGAAGGGACATTGAAGGGCTTCTAGTCCATATACAATTTTAGACAAATAGCTGTACTGCTTTTCTTAAGAACCTCCAGTGATGAAGCACCTACAACTTCTGAAGGCAACTTCTGTTTCACTGGTTCATTGTCCTCACTGTTAGGAAGTTTCTCCTTAATTCCAGGTCTCTTCTCTCCTCTGCTTGTTTCCACTAATGGTTCCTTGTCTTGCCTTTTGTTGCTTTGGAGAATAAGTTGACTCCCTCTTCTTTGTGACAGCCCTTTAGATATTGGGACACTGCTATCGTATCACCCCTTGTTAAACTAGACAAACGTTCGATTTCAAGAAAGCTCTTACCAAGTATATAAAATGCCCGGATTTCTAGTGGGTGAGAAGAAACGATTGTCTACAAAACCAAGCTGTACGTAATAGCTCATCAGCATCTCGACTCCAGATTCATCTCTGCTGGGCGTCCGGCAGGCCTTTGAATATATAGGACAGGTATTAGCTACAAAGTTGATGTGTGGCCCAGGTGAATGCTCTTCATTGATTGGAATTCAGGAAATAAAAACGGGGGTGTTTAAGGGGGCCTTTTGGAGTAGCAATAGCACTTTATACCACTTCACAGTGCTTTACAACCCTCTGTAAGAGGTTTTATAGAGTCAGCCTCTTGCCCCCAATAATCTGCGTCCTCATTTTACCCACCTCAGAAGGATGGAAGGTTGAGTCAACCTTGAGCCAGTCAGGATCGAACTCCTGGCAGTCGGCAGAATTACTGCACTCTAATCACGTATTTGTGTGACATCTATTTAATGGTCTTCTAAGACCCTCTGTGGCTTAATTATAGTATTTTTATAATATAAAATTATATAAAATTATTTATATTTGTATAAATATTTGATAAGGGACGAGAGCTTATAGCTTAGAAGCTAATACAACTGCCTAACATGTAAAATAGCCCAAATTCAAATCCCAGCAAATCTCTCTCTCTCTCTCTCTCTCTCTCT